TATTCTGAAAGATAATGTTGATCCATTGGAAAGTAAAGGTGAATTTTTCACCTCATCCCAAATAAGAAGGGAGAGAGATTTGTTTCTCTTTTGAAATGAGTGAGGATGTCAGCTTTTGCAGAAAAGAAAGTCTGGGGGATATTAACCATCTGTAGAGATTAGATGGTATGGTAAGGCATCGGAGGAGGGATCAAAGGAAAACTAGATTCTGCAACTTGCCCATTCCGCCTGAGATCTGGGAGGGAAGAAAATGCAGGCATCCTAGCAAAGGAGAGTTTTGACGCATCAGTCTCTGGGGTATGGGCCCAGCTCGCTTCTGCTGCACCACTCTGCTGGTGGGGCTTTAACAGATGTTTCTCCTAACTATGGACATGATCAGGCATCTCATTTTCTTGCACCACATAGATGAATTGTGGTTTGTTTATAAAATAGAATTCCACTTATCAATAAAAACAATACATTTCTATCAGTTCTGTTGTGTATGTAACAGCACAGTTAAATCTCAAAACCATAACGCCAGGCAAAAAATGCCACACAAGGCAATGTACTATAGGATTCCACTTATATGAAGTTCTGGAGCAAGCAAAACTGTCTGGTGATCGAAATCAGAAGAGTGATTGGCCTGCAGGATGCAGTGTTGACTGGTAAGGTGGCCTAAGGTAGCATTCTGGAGTAAGGAGAATGTTCTCTATCTTGATGTGAACGGAGGTCACACAGGATATACATATGTAAACTTCGTCGCTCTGTCCACACTTGAGATCTATGCATTTTACTGTGCGTAAAATATATTTAATGAAATACTGAGAAAAGAGGGGACCACAGCGATATAATAGCCGAAAGAGAAGGGAGGGAGGGAGAGGAGAAAGGAAAAGAAATACCTTCTGTGCATACTTCAGGGAGCCAAGGCAAAAGTGGCCACGAGAGGACAGCTTCCCAAAATAATTTGTAGAACCAAGAAGTGGTCCTTGGGAGCAGGAGAAAATTCACAGCACTCATTGGGAAGAGGGCCGAATCTTGGCCACCCCTCATGCATGAAAGAATGACATTCTCAGCAAGGTGCTGACCCTAAGAGACTTGACAGAATTCTCCTCAATAAGTGAGAGAAAATTTACTTTCCAAGTATACTTCCAGGAATTCATTTCTTTCATATCAGCTTGAGGAGTGTATTGAGAGAGATCAGAACTAAAATAGGGACATTTTTGTTCCAGAAAGCACATTCTTCAACAGGTCAGAATTAGTCCTTTCACCCAGTTAAATATTTTTCACGATTTCTGTAAACAAACAACAGACTTGGGTTTTCTCCATGTTGTCCAAGAAGTCACAGTTCCTCCGCATGGCCACCCTGCCTTCTCACGCTTTCCTTTCTAACCTAGCCCCTGGTGACGTGAATAGAAAGCGTAGCCCTGCCACAGGAAAATGCTGGAATTGTGTGAGGTAGCAAAGCTGAGCAGTCGGCTTCATCTCTGGCCACACCGGTAAAGATAGTACCACCTTGGTTAGAATTCCCTTCTTTCTCCTTCATATGAAACTTATTTGTATTGTTTTAATCTTTTTTTTAAAATAGGCTTCACACCCCCACGTGGAGCTTGAACACATGACCCTGAGACCAAGAGTTGTAGGCTCTACTGACTCAGCCAGCCAGGTGTCCCTAAACTTATTTGTATTTTATATGGTACAGTCTGGACTGCTTTAAAATGAGCCCCCTGAGATTAAAAAAAAAAAAATCTTGTCTTCTGCATTCGACAGATACATGTCTCAACACTACTGGGGTAATCTGCTGGAGCAGAAACCTCATTTAGACTGCAAAAAAGCATAATAAAAAATGAGAAATTACAATCACAATGAAAATTTAGTTTTCTCAAGAATAAGAAAGTATGGGAGTATCTGGGTGGCTCAGTCTTGATCTCAGCTCAGGTCCCAGTCTGAGTCATGAGTTCAAGTTCTGTGTTGGAGCCTCGTAAAAATAAATAAATAAGTCAGTCTGTTTCATGTTCCATCTCCCCTCTTACTCTGCGGTCTCATCTCAGCCACCGGTCAGAATAATAGTACCTAAAAGTGAGTTGACTGGTCATTTCTTTGCCCCAAAGCCCCCTACCCCCAAATCCCACTCTGGAGCCTGGGACCAGTTCTTCTGGCCTGAAATCCTCTTCCCTCATTCGCTGGCGTGTGAATTCACGTCTTTGCTCACTTGTCCGCTTCTCCTAAGACTGCAGATGAAACTCCCGCCCCGTCTCAGTCCTTCTTCGACCTCTATTTGGGTCGTGCCGTTTACCATCGTACTCGTTAGTTTCTATTGTGTTGTTGTTTTTTTGTTTATCATTACCCAGAAGAGAAGCTCGACAAGAATAGGAACTTTGTCTGTTACTGATGCAGCCCACGTGTTAGAAGAGTGCCTAGTAACCAGTCTCGGTCAGCCCATGGTTTGTGAGCGAGCGAGTGATTGAAGAGCCTGCAGAGCGTTTCCTTTCCACCCGAGTCATCTCACAACCTATGCGAAATTCCGTGTATTCTGTCCAGACTGTTCTTCTTTCTTCCAAGCCAGACGGCTAAGAATCCATCTTCTTCAGCAACCCCTTTCCTTCATTCTGCCTCTCTCCTCCACCCACAACCATGCAATCGGTTACCAGTCCCTGCTCCTTGATTTCTGCTCTCTCTCTGCCTGGTGAGCAGTCACTGCTGGCTACCTAGTTTGAACCCACATTTTTAACGTTTGCAGGTGTCTTCACACTTTCCCATGTCTCCAAGCCTCCAGTCTGTCCCCATGCGATTCTTCCTCACGTGACAGCCAGAACCATCAAGCCCAAACTTGTCTCTTCCCTGATTAAAATCTTTCTGAGGCTCTCCGTTGTGTGTGGAACACTGTCCATGCTGCACGTGGTTTGTAAGCACACCCAGGATCTGCCCACGATGTGCCCACAATCTGCTTTGTGATCTGCCCCATGATCTGCCCACGATCTCCCACGATGTGCCCATGATCTGCCCCATGATGTGCCCATGATCTGCCCTACAATCTGCCCACGATCTGCCCCACGATCTGCCCACGATCTGTCCAGATCTGCCAGGGCTTCTCACCAGCCACACCTGGAAGTATCCCTGTATCTCCTTGGAAGTTAACCCAAGAGATCTGCTCTGTCTTCTAGATCTGTCCGTGAACATCTGCCTTCAGCCTGCAATGTCCCTTTCCCCTTGGTGCTCCAAACACATAAAGACAGAACTGAAGTTCTGAGTCCTTTTGTTTGTTTGTTTGTTTGTTTAAGTTCTGAGTTTTAAATAAGATGACTTGCTCCGCTACCATTCCCCGGGCATTTGTACTGGACTCACGGGCTAACTTACCAATCCCCCCACTCAGTTTTCCCAGACAGGAGTCGTCCTTTGCCTCTGAATGGTGCAAAGCACAACACAGGGCATATGGTCATGACTAGATAAATATTAAATTATCATGTAAAGAACTCTTGCCCCCCTCTGTAAGATGGCACTCTTGGGTCATGGAATGCTGTAAACATCTGAAACGGCATGGAGATTTAGTCAGGCATATCTGCTATACAGCTCTAGCTCTGGGGACCTGTTGTCGTGAGGGAGAGGTGACCACAGACCTTGGAATCATGAAGTTTAAAACCCCACATCGGCCTTCACTAACAGGGTGGGCTTGGGCAAGTTTCTTAATGTCTTTCTGCCTCTCTATTGATATGAGTTTAACAGTAATTCCTGTAGCATGTACTTATTTTAACATTTATTTTTATTTTATCAAGCAATTGAAGATTGCTTGTTGTTCCAATTGGACCTCTTCCAAGATATCCATAAAACAGGAGATAGATGTGTTCAGGAAGTCATTCTTGCCTACCCCCCCCGCCACTAGGAAATGCTAAGGAATATGTCACAGTTCACTTACAGACCTCCTGTTGGTTCCAGAGCAGATGTCTGCTGACATGTCTCCCTTTCTCCCATGTTCTCAGCTCCAAGAGGCTTCCTGCCCTGCCTGTCCTCTCCGGGAGAGATGTGAATGTGGAGGTACAGATTCAAAGAAATCATGAAGTGTAAACTTTGGCTCCCTAATTGGGCCTTTCTGGCTCATACTGTAGGATCATGACTAAAATGTAGAGAGAAGAACATGTCCTTCCCTCTCCAGGCCCTATTACTTCTTGAGGACTCCGCCCTTGAAGTCAAAACCCTGTTGTGAGGTCAGGAATCAACACTTGCAGCCATTAAGTGGTCTTGCTGGCCCTAGACAATCAGCCCGGCCCCAGAAACTTCTCACAGGGGCTCTGCTCTCTCTGAGTAACATCACTCCTAAAAGCTGTTCCTCCTCCAGACTCAACTCAAAGTACAAAAGGCACAGTCGTGTTGACAAAGTGATGAGAGCAAGTCTCACAGACGCACTGGAGAGTGGACAGCAGAAGGCCGGGAGCCTTGCTCCAAGCCTGGAGGGACACTGGCCGAGAGCTTCCCTTTTCTGGAACATGGAGCAACCACTGGGGTCTGACAGACGGAGGCTTGACTTTCCCATCTGTGAGGAGCTAAACTGGCAGAGAAAGGAAGGGGCCAGAGCACCACCTCTCCCGGGAAAAGATTAAAACCAGTTTGGTGGGAGGAAGTGACAGCAAGCGCAGCACACGGTGGAGGGGGGTGCCCTCAAGCGTTGATCCGTCAGGGACAATTACACCAGATTTCATCGAATTCAAGAATGTCAAGGTCAAATTACATCCAAAGCTCCTCCAAGCACTCACTGAAGAAAAAGCAGTGAGGGATGAGGGGGAGCACCCCTGGGGGACGAGAAAGGGAATGAGTTCTTCCGGCCAGATGAGAGCAGGGTAAGGTTTAGAGAGAATCTGTTCCTCCCCCCGAAAGATGCAAGAGTGTGGGCTGTACTTGCTGCCTTCCTGGCATGTCTGTTCCCGAGGAGAAAGTCGGGGCGCTGTCCTGACCGCTCTCACCCCGACAGAGAGAGAAGCGGGCGAGAAGGGACAGTTCTTTAGTTGCGAAGGTTCGGTCCCACCCGGTTTCATTCCGCCGTTAGTGCTAGATACCTTGGCTCTTCACCTTCTTCTAGATTGCAGATTGGGACCCACATGGTGAATATGTAAAGTTCTAGCCTGAGATCTGGGAGTCGTTTGCTGTAGAGAATTGGAAGACCCCCAAGGCTCTTCACAATCCTGATGTCCAGATCAGGGGACGGGGGACACAGGCTATTTCCTGTGGGCATGATGCCTTCGGGAATGCCCTTGGTCCCGGTTCTTTGGGGTTTTTGACTTTGCACCAATGGAAAATGAAGAGGCCGGTGATCTGAAAGTTCCTCTCCCAGCACAACCCTGGGCGGGTGGAGAGGGCATCCCAAAGTTGAAGCTGCTGCTTGTCGTTACTGGCCCAGGGACAGGGGTGCTTTGAGCAAAGGGGGCCATGCAGGGGCCCCCAAACATAGATTTTCCTGAAGAAATGCTGGCCCTCCCCAAGACAAAAGGTGGGCTCTGGTTGGTCGGGCCTGGGCTGTTCTGGCTCCAGCCCTTTCCAAAAGGTGAGATGGCACCAGGGGTCCCACTTGGCACTCCTCCAGTGCTGAACACCCCAGGGTTGGAGCTCCTGTCCGGGCCAGTCCCACTGACCCCAGAGTCCCCACAGTCCATAGGGGTCACTAATCCCCCAAAAGCAAAAGGGGGTGGGGCTGTGCTGCCAAACACCGAACCACAGGCCACATTCTGGTGCGTCTGGGCCACAACCCCCAAACCATTCTTACTTGCTTGACCAGAGGGAACCGCTGCGGCAGTGCTGCCAGAGTCGGGCCGGATGGCGGCAGGGAGCGGACAGGCGGAGGCCAAGGCTGTCAAAACCCCAGAGGGTGACTTCGCAGTACTGCTTAAGGCCGGCAGAGCCGGAGCGGGGGTTGGGGTGGGGAAGGCCACAGCTGAGTTTCCAAAAATGAAGGGGCTACTGAGGCTTGGGCCAAGGGCTGGTTGTGGGGCCCCTTGCTTCTGCCCACCTGTAGCCCCCAGTGCCTGCTGGAGAGTGGCTCCTGGGGAGAGCGGGAAGAGTGGCCCTGAGCCGGCCCCTGAGGGAGACCCGAGTGTGGATATGGGAGCGGAGATGAGGGATGGTAATGAGGGCTGGGGCGGAGCTACCAGGGCTGAGGCTGACAGAGGACAGCCCACGCCCCGCAAGCTGGCAGTGCTTTTACTAGGGGATATCTGCACAGCGCTGGAAAGAACCTGGCTAAAGATGGTGACCGTGTGCACGGTAGGAACAGCAGTACGCGGGTGTGCTGGGAAGATGAAGCTTGTGGTCGGGGTGAAGCTGGCCCTGAAGGCACAGGTAGCCCCAAGAAGGAAGGAGTGGCTGGTCGGAGGGGTGGAGTAGGTGTTGCCGGGGGTACCGGTAACATTCACGACGCCCAAATCCAATGGTGGCATGAAAGAACGGTCTTTGGGGGGGGTGGCCATGATGCCAGAGAGAGCCTTGACTGGGCCATGGAGGAGGTGGGTTGAAGCAGGAGAAGCTAGAGGAGAGGTCTGCTCGAAAGAGAAAGGAGCGATCGAGGGCAGGGCTTTAAGGGGTCCTATGCCATCCAACATAGGCTCAGAGGTGGGAGTCAGGATGCTTGAAGATGTTGTAGTGGCCACTGAAGTTGTGGAATATGAAGAGACTCCGATCTCACTCTTGGGTGGGAGTCCCAACATGGGGTTTGACGTGGGGTCCGCAGAAGCTGTGGCTTCGGGGGGTGCAGAGGCAGGAAGATGGGGCGCTGGGCTGCTCATTCTGGACAGAGGACTCAGCTCGGGGACCACCGCAGGGCTGACAGCAGTCCCCTCGGCCTGAGAGGATGGAGGGGGCCATGTGGCATCAGTTGCCGGTGATGTGGGAGAAACAGAGGTCAGAAGGATGAAAGCTGACATGGGTCTGGAGTCTGAAGAGGTGCCTGAAGGGGGCTCTGACTGTGAGCAGCCCTGGGACGACAGCGGGCCGCCCTCCCTCAGGGCGGGATGGGCCACGCCGACTGCCCCTCCTGTGGCTGGTGGGAGGGCCAGGGGAGACTCCCGCATTTCTGTGAGGCTCTCCAGCTGTGGATTTGGGCCCTGGGTTGAAGCCGGGCCTGCAGAAGGCAGGGCGAGAGGCAGGGAAGGCTGAAGAGCAGAGCGCGTCTCAGGGACAGAGTCTGTGGTGAGGTCGGTGGTCTCCTCTTCCGCTTTATTGCTCCCCTGGAGTTCACCTTTCTCCCCTAAGGCCAGGTCCTCTCCAGGGTCTGCATCACCAAGCTGGGGAGGTGGGGTCGGTGCCAGCAGGTCCCCAGGACTAGAGAGCAGCCCAGAGCTGCCAGATGCTTCTGGGGACCCTTCTGATTCCAGTGAGACTGGAGAGGGAGACTGATGACCCTTTTCTGTCTTTTTTACTGGCCATTCTGGTGTCTGTAGGGACTCTCTGGAAACACTTCTCTTCCAGAGCTCAGAGAAAGTTCTCGAAGAGCTGTAAGAACTTGCTATCGCATTTCTTCTGGAGCCGAGCAGGCCACCTGTGTGTGTGCTGGCCAAGGAGCTCAGCGAGGAGCAGCTGGGCCTCTTCGTCAAGCTGCGATCCGAGCTCCAGGGCTTGAGGCTTCTCTTCAGAGGCCCAGGCCTGGGCACAAAAGAAGTGAGGGCTCCGTGTTTCACCAGGGGCCTAAATGCGGATGCTTGGGTGTCTGGACTCCTGCTCTCACTGTGCGAGCCCTCGGGAAACAGTGGCTCATCAAACCTCACTCTCCCTTTCTTGCACTGTCTGAGGGCCCTCAGCACCGTCTCCTTTGCACACGGGTCTGGGGGCTTCTCAGAGGGTGAAGACCCTGCAGAGTCGATGTCCTCTGCGGGAGAAGTGGTGAGAAGCGCTCTCCGCTCAGGAGGAGCTATCTTGATGGTCACCGGGCTCCCTGCTGCCCTGGGGTGCCGAAGAGACCAGAGAGTCCGCTGGAGGTAACTGTCCCACCAGTCTGAGGGAAGAGGCCCCACGATGGAATTCTGGGACCTCTCCAAGGGAAAGCGCCTCCAAGCCTCATGGACCGCCCACGCGATGGGACTGTCAGGATCCCGGTTTGGCGGCCTCCTCGCCGGTGGGTGCCGCCGGGCCGGGTGGGCGCGGTGGACAGCCGGAAGCCGGTGGACTTGATGAAGGGGCTGAGCCGGCCGGCGGTTCCGCGGCCTCTCCGAGTCCGTGCGCGCCTGCGCGGGAGACGACGGCTGGGACCCCGGCTTGCCCAGGTAACTGCCCATGCGGGGCGCCGAGGCGGGTCGGTTCCCCAGGTTTCTGACGGACTCAGCCGGAGTCGGAGTGCGCCGTGTTCCGCTGACGGTTGGGATCCTGGCGCGAGGAAAGTGCGAGGGTCTCGGGGCGCTCGGCAGCCCCCAGGCCCGGCACCCACAGGTCGGCGCCCCGTGGGAACAGAGGAGAGCGTCCCCGGCAGCCCCAGGAGCTTGCGGTGCGGTTCGGAGGCTTCCGCGGGGCGCTGGGGCCTGTGCGCTCTCGGCTGCCGCTGCGGCGCGCGCCGGGGAGGGGCCGGGGTGCAGCGCGCGGCCTGGCTCCGCGCCCGCAGCGCCATCAGGGGCCGTGCGGCGGTGACCGTGAGGCCGTGAGACCTGGCTCCGCGCCCGCAGCGCCGTCCCGGAGCCTCGGTCGAGTGGGCGCCGGGTCTCCAGGCTCTGGCTGCGGCCACTCGGGGGTCCAGGCGCGCGGCCCCGGAGTCGGGGCAAGACGCGCGGTCCCAGCCTCGCGGGGTGGGTGGGGACGGCTCTCGGAGCGCGCAGGGCTGGGGAGCCGACCGGGCCCCCCTGGCCGCCAGCAGCCCGGGGCGCTGATTTGGGGGATTCGGCGGGCGTTCCCCGCGCTTCTGCTTTCCCGCTGCCATTACCTTTTCGCCTCCATGGCCAGCCTCGGCCGGAAGGACGAGCTCCTGACGCCGCCACCTCCTGGACCCGTCCCGGCTCTTCTCCCCGGGGCCGAATCCCGGCCGCCCCTCAGTTGTCAGCGGGACGACGGGAGGCCGGTAGAGAGGGGCCGAGCGCGGGAGTGGCTCCGAGCGCGAGGCCAGGGCGCTGCCGTCAGTCTCAGGTTGCAGCGGGTCGGGACGGAGACTCTAGTGACAGGTTGGAGGGAACACTCTTCCCGGGTGCGCAATAGTTTCCCTTCTCGAGCCCTTCGTGACTTTCTGTGGATGAATCTGCTCCTGGAATTTCCCCTGCCGGCGATTTCAGGGCCCTCGGGAAAGAAAAGTCCTCCCTGCTCCATTCATTCAGTTAAAAGTACAAGGTTCTGAATAGAAGACCCGAGAGGCAGAGATTTCTGGGCAGAGGAAAGGGTAGAAGTCTTGTGCTTCCCAGAAGTCAAGGCCCGAGACTGCTCTCGCCCCCTCTGCTGGACACCCAGAGGCCTGGGTGGTTCCAGATCGTGACTTTCAGACGGGCTTCCCGGAGGGTTTCTGCGCTGTCAGCCTCTCTAGACTCCAAAGTATCCTGAGCCAGAAGCAATTTTTCACAGATAAAGTGACCACAGGGTCAGCCCTAGGGCTCCCCGACCCCGGCGTGCAACCGAGCAGCCATTAAAGTTAACCCGGGAAGTTCCCTGCTCACTTTCCAGAAGAGAGAGGGGGAAGGGTGGGTAGGATCCAGCAGCAGGAGGTCAGCCTGGGGGGAGTTGAACCTAGGGTAGGGGCAGCACAGAGAAAACCTTGAGACTGGTCTCTGAATTAGTGTGTAGGGGGCAGGCTGAGCAGGTGATGGGCCTGGGGAGGGCAGAGGACAGGGCCAGATCTTGGGCATAGGACAGGAGAGGGTCCATGGGAGGATTCTTTTAAGAGAAAGAAAACATGGGAATAACCAGAACGTCGGCGAACGGAACCTAGTTAAATAAATTATAGTACAGCTGTAAGATAGAATAACAAAGATAAGGCAGACCTTTATATATTAATGTTTGTCTATGTCCATGATACATAGGCTTCTTCCCAACCTCATATAATTTTAAATTCTAGGCTTTATTTGTGTGAAAACGTAGCTGTAGATTTCTAAGTAGAGATGTGGGCAGCAAAGAAGGGAGGGTATTGACCAAAGTACTAACATGCAGTTATCTCGGATGTGGTACTGGAGTTGGTTTGCAAGGAATTCTTTTTGGTTTTCCTGCACTGTGTCACATTTTCTACAAGATTCTATCTCATTAAAAAAAAAAACTATTTCCATTTTTAAAAAGAAAGTTTAAAAAGGAAAAAAAGTTAGTTGCAAAGAAGGTGTATTTGAACTCAGTATCTGGAGCCAGGAGATAAGAAGGAGGGTGTTAAAAGAATTCAGGATTCCAGGCAAAGAGGCTTAAGTAGGGATATGGACTTTGATCCTTTGACCACCGCTGCTTGGCCGGGGTGCAGAAAGAGTGAGAAGGAAGAACAGAAGATCACATTGAGCATTCTTTATGCATGATGGCTTGACAATAGTGGCACTGAGTTAGAGGTCCCCACCAGGTAAAGAGACAGCACTAAACATCTTGGTGTTGAAAGAAAACATTGATCAACTGGATTTCATTAAAATTAAAAACTTCCACTCAGCCAAAGACACTGTTAAGAGAATGAAAAGACAAGCCACAGACTGAGAAAATGTTTGCAAAACCTATCTGATAAAGAACTGGTATCCAAAATATACATAAACCTGTCGAAATTCACAATGAGTTTAAAAGCTAGTTTAGAAACGGGTAAGTCACCACGAAAGATACATGGATGGCAAATACGCATGTGAAATGATGCCCGACTTCGGACATCAGGATCAGGAGAGAATCGCAAAGGCAAGCATCAATGAGATACCAGGACAGCCACCTTAGAGTGGCTGCAATCCAGGACACTGGTGACGCCAGATGTTAGTGAGGATGTGAAACAACAGGAACTCTCACTCATTGCTGGTGGGAATGCAAAATGGTACGGCCACTTTGGAAGACAGTTTGGAAGTTTCTTACAAAATAAAACATAGTCTTACCATGCCCGCTGGCAATCAAACTTCTAGGTATTTACCTAAATGAGCTGATAAGTTTTGTTCACACAAAAACCTGCACATGACTGTTTGTAGAAGCTTTATCTATAATTGCCAGGAATTGGAAGCAACCAGAAAACACTCCAATGGAGGAACGTGATAAACCATGGCACAGTCATACAATGGAATATTATTCAGCACTGAGCGGAGATGAGCTAGCAAGTCATGAAAAGACCAGGAGGAGCCTCAAATCTGTATTGATTGCTTCCTGAACAAAACCAGTCTGAAGAAGGCTACCTACTGTGTGATTCCAGCTACATGACATTCTGGAACACACAAACCTATAGAGAGTAAAAGGATCAGAGTTTTGGGGAGTGGGAGCACAGGGGTTTTATTCTCTATGAAACTATAATGGGGGATACATGGTGTTATGAATGGCAAAACCCATAGAGTGTACAGCAGGAGAGTGAGCCCTGATGTAAACTGTGGACTTTAGTTACTAATAATGTATCAGTGTTGATTCATCAGTTTTAACAAATGTCCCACACCAATGCAAGATGTTGCTAAGAGGGGAAACTAGGAGTGGGAAGTGGGGGGAGGAGAAAGTATATGGAAACTTTCTTTCTGTTCAGTTTTTCTGTAAATCTAAAATGGTTCTTAAAAGATAAAGTCTGCTAATTTAAAAAATTAAGATAATTTTTCATTGTCTTGGAGCTTGGACTTCCATGCCTCACTCCTCTTCAAATTGCTTTGCAATTTGTAAAATAGTGCCATAAAATGTAAATCCCAGGAATGTAATTATTTTGTTATTTAAGCAGGTAATGCACACATTCACCACATTATCAGGTATGCAAGAAATCATGGCAATTTTTTTAAACTGTTTTAGTCCACAAAACTGACAAGCAGTTTAGTGTAGCTTAATTTACCCATCTGCCTTCTTGCATAACTTAGCCTTCCCCAGGACGTAGGCCCAGCGCCTTGGGATGAACTGTGAACTCAAATTGGTTTTGAGGAAGCTCCCAGCAAATATGTTTTAAAGAACCAGTAATTAGGGGTGCTGTTACCATGTCCACTACTATTGGGTGGCAAGGCAATGGGGGTAAGGAACATGGATATAACCCGCAGAGTGGCTGGAAAATTTTCCAGAGGCACAAGATTGATGTCGAGGAGGTACTGGGTGGGCTGTGTGGAGAGAGACCAGGGAGGGGTGCTGCCTAGGAAGAGGACAGATGGTCAGTCAAGGCCACTTCCTGAACAGAGGATGGTAGAGCCCAGAAGGCAGACCTGAGGGGAGGGAGGCTGAAGGTAGCCAGGATGGGGCTGGGGTAGGAGGAAAGCCTTGGAGGGCAGGGTTGCTGGAGAGTAAAGCAGATTTGGAGTAGGATAAGGCGGAGGGAGGCCAGGCAGAAAGCCACAGTGGGGCAGGGGTGGGACACAGAGCCCTCAGGCTCTGACCTTGACCAAAAGAGTCCTCTAAAAGAGGGGCCAGTTTCTGTGCATAGAAAGATGCTATATACATTTGAAAAAAAAAAAAAAACTTTTATGTGTTTTGGAAAGAAAGTAAAAATAAAGCCAGTTTCTGGACTCAGACCAGAAGAAAGTGGTGGCTTCCGCTTCTCTCTTGGGATAGTACTCCTAGGAAGCCACAGTGTTAGAATGACCAAAAAGGCTCTGAGCAACTGCAGGGCAGCGTGGCCACGCACAAAGCCGAGAGAACACAGCTGCAGGAGGTCTATACGAGGTATCCAGCAACCGGAGAAGATAAAAGATTGGAGGCAGGGACCCACGTCCTCAGAAGAGGTTGCCGGCCTGCTGCACTGTGAGCCTGAGGGTTTATAATGAGGCTGGTTTGGGGAGTGTGGGAAACAACCCCAGACATCAAAGAAGCCGTTACTGCTGGAACCTACTAGTGTCAGAGTGTGTGGTGAGGGGATGCAGCCCTCTGACCCAAACCGAGCACATGCAGGATGGAGGCTCTCCCTTCTCCCTGCTTCCAGGCTTCCAGCCTCCGCCAGGTCCCCAGGGCACAACCGAAGAAGAAAGAGGAGTGGAGGATGGTTTGCAGTCCCAGCTCCCGCTTCACAAAGCGGACTGCGGGAGTGTTAACACCATCCATGTCAAGTTCAGAAACCCAGGAAGGACCTGTCTCATGATGCAGAGCTCTGTGGCACGTCTGTAAAGAATAGCAAAAGAATGAGAGACCTAAAATAGCAATGCCTCTGGGTACAAAGAAAAGATGAAATTGAAGAGGACGATATCTGAGGCTTTAAAGCTACCGCAGTGTTTGATTTTATAAGCTGTGTTGTGCAAATCCGTGTGTCCGTTTGACCTCTTCCATACAGCACGTTGTTACAGGTGAGAGTAGTTGTAGGCGTTCCCGTTCTCACAGTGAAATATACTGCATCATATTAAATCTTATGTTGCTGAAGGCAATTAAAATACAATAAAAAATTTTCAATCCTAAGTAGGTCATCTTGTACATATCA